TTATATATAAATTTAGTAATTTTTATAATTTTATTAATAATCATAACCATATCTTATTTTATTTAAGAATTGTAATAATTGCATTCGTTGCTCATAGAAATTCAATCTAATTAAAGAAAGACTCGTTCATAAGTATTTTAGTTATTAAAAAAATAATATTTTCTTTCAATACCTTTTTAAATTTCTGAGAAAGTATTTTATAGACAAGTTGAAGAATAATCTCCACTAAACATCACTCAAATTAAAATTTTAAATTATGAGTACATTCATTTCACTTCAATGTCCTACATATGAAATATGAAACAAATTTAAGCCCTCCATGTCGTACCCGCTAGGTTAAGATTTCATGGATAAAAGTCCTTGTTTTCGCTCTTCATTGGTGGGAATGATTAATTATCACACCGGCTGAAATCATGAAAGAACAATTTATTTCAACACGCAAAAAGAGTCAATTAATGTAGGCCCTAAATATTTTATGAAAATGACCCACGTATTAATAGTCCAAAATTGCAAATATCATTAATATATATATAAATGAGGTTAGTATTTGTCCGTTTTATTTTCAAAAAATTAAGAAAAAAAACAAAAATTATTTAGTTGTATGTTTTAAAAATAAAATAGTTTAATCTTTTTTAATAAAAATGTATTGAAACGACGTAATTTTAAGATAATTTTCCTCTTAATCTTTAGGATATAAGGTTGATAGGCATTATTTTTTATGTAAATAAATGAGTAAAAATTTATTTATATATAAGTTATTTTATATATAATAATAAATTTTTTATTATATATAAAATATTTTTCAAAAATTGTACATTAATTGTTAAAAAATTATAAAGTAATTATTATTTATTATTTATTTAATAAATTGTAATAGTTTATATATTGATTTTTTTTTACATTATAATTATTTACTTAAGAAAAAAATTATAAATATCAATCAAATTATATATAAATTTAGTAATTTTTATAATTTTATCAATGTTTTGAAACCGAACCGACAAGAG